TTTTTATGCAGAGAAAACTTAAGGATAAAGTTGCAAGCAGTAGGTGAACACTCAATTTTCAAAAAATCCTAAGTAGGAAAGAAGGAAGGCTAAAATCGCAGCAATCGCCTCATCTCATAGCAAAAACTCAACCGTTTAAACCTTCAAATTGTTACTCAATTGCCAGTTTACTCTATTTTTTATGTAGAGAAAACTTAAGGCTAAAGTTGCAAGCAGTAGGTGAACAATCAATTTTGATAAATTCCTAAGTAGGAAAGAAGTAAGGCTAAATCATAGCAATCGCCTCATTTAATAGCAAAAACTCAACCGTTTAAGCCTTCAAATTGATACTCAATTGCCAATTTACTCTATTTTTTATGCAGGGTAAACTTAAGGATAAAGTTGCGAGCGGTAGGTGAACACTCAATTTTCAAAAAGTCCTAAGTAGGAAAGAAGGAAGGATTAAATCGTAGCAATCGCCCCATTTAATAGCAAAATCTCAACCGTTTAACCCTCAAATTGTTACTCAATTGCCGATTTACTCAATTTTTTATGCAGAGAAAACTTAAGGATAAAGTTGCAAGCGGTAGGTGAACAATGAATTTTCAAAAATTCATAAGTAGTAAAGAAGTAAGGCTAAAATCATAGCAGTCGCCTCATTTAATAGCAAAAACTCAACCGTGTAAACCCTCAAATGGTTACTCAATTGCCAAGTTACTTTGTGTTTTATGCAGAGTAGACTTAAGGATAAAAGGGGCGAGCGGTAGGTGAACACTCAATTTTCAAAAATTCTTAAGTAGGAAAGAAGGAAGGCTAAAATCGTAGCAATCGCCTGATTTAATACGAAAAACTCAACCATTTAACCATCAAATTGTTACTCAATTGCCAGTTTACTCAATTTTTTATGCATAGTAAACTTAAGGATAAAGTTGCGAGCAGTAGGTGAACACTCAATTTTCAAAAAATCCTAAGTGGGAAAATATGAAAGCTAAAATCGTAGCGATCGTCTCATTTAATAGCAAAAACTCAACCGTTTATGCAATAAAATATATTTAATTCCTCATGTTCATGAACAAATGTTGTTCTCTTTTCTGGATTCAATTTTCGAAATTAACAAATTTTGATGAGCGAACATAAGGAGAAGGGAAATGTGAGTGTGAAGAGATTAGCGAACTGAACAGACAGAAACAGAAGTTTCCCTGCGTCACCAGACTGTTGGAATATCGTCGACTTGGAAAGTGGTAATTGAAACAATCTCGAATAGTCAGAAGCTCCGATTCCAACAAAGATCCACTTGTACATTGGCCTAAAAACGAGTCGCATTCGTCAGCTGGCCGTCTTTCCAGCTCGATCGACCTCCTTTTATCGCTCTTTATAGATGAAGGCAAGACGAAAAAAAGTACGAGGAAGGAAGGAGAGGTGAGTGAAAGAAGACCAACGAACGGTATGCGACCAGCAGCTGTGTCTGGTATGCGACCATCAGTTGAAAATGGTCAAAAAACTGCAACTTTGCCCTATCAGCAGCAGAACAGTGATTCATGATTTGTGCAATGTCCTGGTCAGTAGAGGTCAACCGTTCGTAGGTGTGAAGAAAAATAAGAAAGTTTTTGCTGGTTGCCATTAAGCCACCTTTTTAACAAACATATTTCCGAATCGAATTGCCGATTTTCAATGGCAGAACTGCGCTCATTAGCTTAATATCTGGACCATGAATTTTTAATAGACCAAGTTGGCTATGCCAAATTACGGTTTAGTTAAGAGGCACGGAAAATGTGTTCTACTAGAAAACCATTCCAAATCGTAGAAATAACAGACCGGTTCTGGTCTGTGTGTATTGATATAGAAATGATGCCGACCGGTCCACCATTATACAGGGTGATTCAAAATTGGCGTCATTCCTTTTAAGGGGCTACAGAGGATTTCTTACAGAGGACAAGAAAAATATTGACGAAACTGATTTATTTTCCCAAACACTCATGCCATGCTTACTTCAAGCAATATCAATATTATCAACAAAAATAAATGTCTTTAAATCACCGGAAACAAACGCTTAAGTTGGCAACCAGGCAATATGAGAGAAAATCTGTTGAACCAATCTCAGACGGAAGTCTCAAATAGTGACGTCACTGCCAAATAGCTTGGTCGGCAATAGCGCATTTCGCGTTTTCTTATTCAATTTTCAGATGAACTGATAGAGTTGAAAACCTTCTCTAATACGCGTCCGGTTTATAAAAGTATCCTCAAACCAGATTTTTTTTCCGTTTCACTCCACCGACCGCAGTTGTAGTATTTCAGATTCATTGACTACAATACTCACGGACAATTAATAGAAATCTTGTGTATCACGTAATTTAGCAACTATTTCTCATAATTATATATTTTTGCTATTATTACAGTGTATGGAAACGTTAATGATCTAAACGTGATGCCAATGGCCTAAATGTTGTTTCTCAACGGGTAAAAGGTGAAAAATATTTGTCCTTTTAACTAATTTTTCTTCTCAAAAGTCATGAAGAAATGAACTCAAATGCAAATCGCTCGACTTCATCTCAATAGCTTTCATTTCTGCTTTGTAAATTACAGTTTTTCAAAGGTTGCGGATTTTTCTCTTCATGTGTTGATTCCTGTTCATATTGATTTGGATCCAGCATAGATTTTGCTGAATTTTTCCCAGTAATTTCGTATTTGTTCCGGTTTTTGCTTGTTACTTTCTGCCATGTTTTTAAAGTACTTTCATGTATCTCGTGGTGTAGCAGTCTTATTTAATTGTATAAGTTTTGTTCTATTTGTCATTTTTCAACTATTTTTTTTTTGCTCTCCTCGACTGTCTTTTCACTTCAATGTTGATTCAAAGTTTTTTCTTTTCAACACGCAGATGAGTTTTCGTCTCAAATTACAGCTTTATTAGACATTTTTCCATCAAATCGCCGTTTTTTTTTAATTTGCTTGATGAGAAAATTAATCAATTTGAAATTTCAAAATCAAATCTAATCTTCATTTGTACATTCACTTTTATATTTACACGACTTACTTTTAGTCCTCATAATTTCTATCAAATAATGCCATCATCTATGCGATACACTTCCAGCCCTTATAAGGTATTTTCTCATTGTTTTCCAGTTTATTTTTTAATTTTTCTTCACTCTATTTGGCAAACGTTTCAGGCGTTCACCGTTGCTCTTTTCGTCCTTTTAATTAATTTTTCTTATCAAGAGACATGAAGAAATTGACTCAAATGCAAAAATCGCTCGACTTAATCTCAATATTTTTCATTTCTGCGTTGTGAATTACAGTTTTTAAAAGATTGTGGATTTCTCTGTTAATGTGTTGATCCCTTTTCAGATTGATTCGAATTCGGTTTCATTTTTATGGAATTTTGTACTAAATTTTGCCATGTTTTAAAAGTGTTTTTATCACGTGCTTTAGCAGTCTTATTTAATTGTATTTAAAGTCTTGTCTTATTTTTTATTTTTTCACAATTTTTTGCTTTCTTCGACTGTTTTTTCACTTCAATATTGATGCCGCCAGTGAAAAGTGTTTTTCTTTTCAACACGCAGGTGAGTTTTCGTCTCAAATTACAGCTTTATTAGACATCAAGTCGCCGTTTTTTTTTTTTAATTTGCTTGATGAGAAAATTAATCAATTTGAAATTTCAAAATCAAATTTAATCTTGATTTGTACATTCACTTTTATATTTACACGACTTACTTTTAGTCCTCATAATTTCTATCAAATAATGCGATACACTTCCAGCCCTTATAAGGTGTTTTCTCATTGTTTTCCAGTTTATTTTTTCGTCCTTTTAATTAATTTTAATAACTCAAATGCAAAAATCACTCAATAGTTTTCATTTCTGCGTTGTAAATTACAGTTTTTCAAAGATTGCCGATTTTCCTCTTAATGTGTTGATTGCTTTTCATATTGATTTGCATTCGGTTTAAGTTTTATGGAATTTTGTACTAAATTTTGCCATGTTTTAAAAGTGTTTTATCTCGTGGTTTAGCAGTCTTATTTAATTGTATTTTAGCTCTTGTCCAATTTTTGCTTTTTCCACTATATTTTTGCATTCCTCGACTGTCTTTTCAGTTGAATATTGGTGGCGCCATTGGAAATTAATTTTTTTCTTTTCAACACTTTAGTTGAGTTTTCGTCTCAAATTACAACTTTATTAGACATTTTTCCTTCAACTCGCTGTTATTTCTTATTTTGCTTGACCAGAATGTTAATCAAGTTGAAATTTCAAAATCAAATCTTATCTTGATTTCTTTCTTCACTTTTATATTTACAATATTTATTTTTTAACCTTATAATTCCTATCAAATGATGCCTTCATCTATGCGATACACTTCCAGTTCTTATAAGCTCACGGTTTTTCAGTTTATTTCTTAATTGTTCTCATAATTTGGCCTAATTGTCCTTTTAATCCACTTTTCTCCACAAAATGCGAGATGCAAATAGCAATCGACTTAGTCTCAATAGTTGACATTTTTTCGTTGTAAATTTCAGTTCTTTGAAGAATTTCACTTTTCTTTTAATTTATTGATTCACTCTCATATTGATTTGTAATTGTTCCGGTTTTTTCAAACAAAAACCTTCATTTTACAGGCGCAGAAAAGCCTCAAAAATCAAATTAAAGAAATGAAGAACTAAACTCCAACAAACACTAGAAACAAATATAGTAAAAATGGAAAATTGGGCTAATGAAACAAGCAACTCTTCTCAACAATTACAGAAAAAAAAACATGTTAATGTTGGTAAAACACAGACGAAGCAGAGACTAAAGATGGATTTAACGCAATTGAAAATCTTCCACAATTAATTGTGGGAACGAACAAAATCATCAGACACATTTAAGATTATAAAAGGCGAAATAAATGGACAAACAGCCAAAAAGCACTGCAAATAATGAAAAACATTCTATTTTAAAGACTTTAAAACGAGAAAAGTTTTGTTGCTGGGGCCACGGTTAAATCACGTCCTTTTTCGATCGACTTTGAATTTTATGGAGTTGATCAGTTTTTTGGGATTTTAGGCCCGCGACTTTATAAATCATTAAATACCGCTAATTTGGTTTTAAAAAGCTGGGCCTTAAAGCTTCACTTTACTACTGTTTTAATATGGCCAACTTTCCCCAATTTAACCCACTTTGGACACTGATTAAATGCTGAAAAATATTCGGCAAATTAATTTGTATAACCGACGATTTGGCGCTTGTAGGCCTGCCAGTTTACCGACAGTTACATGGCGGTGTCAGAAAAAGGGCCTACTATACTAACAATCGCGAGCTCATCCGGAAATTTCCAAGACTTGCATTCGGAATGCAAAGTGAATTTGATGTCACCACCTGCCCAATACACAGTGTGCAAGTAAAAAGTCTTGTATGTCTGGAACGAAATTATTATGGCAACTATTTTTTTGAACTATTGAATTTTGAAAAAATCTCGTTCAGCTCCAACAGCTAAAAAGCACCATTTATACTTATATGGAACCGGGGCAAAGAATTTCCTCCTGACGTTTCGTAAGCACGAGTGGGAAGCATCTTCAGAGGAGCTTTAACACTGTTGACAATACAAGTCACTGGTGCTTGCACACTGACACAAAAGCGAATATTCTGGAAAATAAACTGATCTTCTAGCTGGAAAGGCACTGAAGAAGATATTTAGAGACGAAAAGCAAATTAAAAAACTGTATTCTGTAGAAGTTCCTGCGTTGTTTTCAATGCAGTTTTGATACACTTTTCGAAGGGATTTTGAGGGTTTCCTGATGGGTAAGGATTTTACTTCAGGGCCTCATGGGTTGGATAAAATTGGTTTTCGGGTTAAAATGACTTGCAACATTCTCCAAAGAAAAAATCTGGAGGTGTTAGGTCCGGTGATCGTGGTGGCCACCTTATCTGTTTTCAGCCTACAGTTTCTAAACACCGACTATTCAGACACTGTTTTTCCAATAGAAATTTTGTGCCATTTCTCCGTTTTTTCCCCTTCAGTATATACTGATATCGTTTTCAAACTGAAGTCATTTTTGCAATGAGGTCAATTTAAATTTTGTTGAACATAAGACAACCGTTAGATTCTTCGCCAAAAATCTTCGATTCAAGCAAAAGAACTCTCACCGGTATGATCGGATATTCTACACATCAAGTCCCCCTCTAAACAGTGCTCAGCTTTCACCATAGACAAGTTTTCCAACACGCATAACACCACTACAAACCAAACTACAACATCACAATTGTTCTTCATTGTCTTTCACCCACCAAAACACATTGACCAATACTGTTTTTTTTTCACAAATTCAACTAACGAGATAAAAAACAGTGCGGGGCGGTAAAGCAACGGTAAAAGTCGTTGTTTTCGATCACATTACCGCTACTCGCTTAGATGGAAGTCCACTAAGATGAGGTCTTGGTCTAACATTCTCAAATGTTCGCGCACTGACGGACTTCTGCCTTCTGAAGGTATGGTTGGACTCTTGGCGTGCCATCACCAACGACCTACCTTTGGCGGTGAGGTGCGGCTGGGGGCAGCAAAAACTACGCGCAAACTGTAGAAAGCAATGAAGATGAGGCGATTCTTCATTTGGATGTCTACAGGTTTCCTACCTGTCCGATTAGCGGTGAACTTTAGCGGCATTTCCATTCAGGAGAGATGTTTGCATCCGAATAGGATCGAATTAAAATCGAAAACAACCTGCTATTATATATATTTTCGCATCCGCATCTTATACATAATGCTTTCTCTTGGAAGTATTGTCTGATTACTTTTTGTGTGCCTCTCGTACTAGCTCTAGTGCTGCAGTGCCATATAATACAACCAAACAATTACTAAAGATTTATCGGTTGCCTATGCAAACAATAGGGTTAATGGCGGTACAAGGGTTGAAGCATCAAGGACAGCTCTACAGTAATCGAGCGATAGTGCCCGTTCACTAATAATGGCAGGCTGTAATTGATTTAATACGAGGCACTATGTCCTTTTCATAAGCCGGTGGTAAATGAAGCATTTAAAAGTCCATCTTGGAAATATTTTACTTCAAAAGTGCTTAATCAATTAATTATGAGACTACTCATATGTGAATGCACAAGGAAGTAAAATAAAAATGAAATTGTGCCAAGCAGTAAAGAGTGCACAAATAGCGATAGGCGCAACCCTTATTAGTGCATGCACACCTACAGGTGTTAATATAACGACGGCAGTATTAGTGGCTGAGCTCCAATGTGTGTTCCATATCTCTCTGTCAAGTTTTAAAAAATTCGAATTTCTAAACCTGACCTCTGGGAAAAGTCAACATTTCTCTAGATTGCCAGAGCCACCGTACTTTGTTCGACAAAATTTCATTTGATTTACCGCACTGGGGGAGTTTAGGCAAAGTTTTTCTACATCCACAGACGATACTTGAATTTATAGATTTGCAAAATTATTTTTTTCATGGGAATGATTTTTTAGGAATTTTCGAAATTTCACTTTGGCTAGTACGCCTGCAAATTTTTGCGTCAAAAATTATAAATTAGTAAAAGTAAAAATTGTCGGCATGCATAGAAAACACTCGAGCCTATAAGCTATAAGCATAAGCTTTTGGGATGATTCCAAAACTCAGGGAGCTGTCAAAACTTTCACATTTTTACGAATAACTCGGAAATCGTAAATTTTTCAGGTAAAACGGTTGAAACAAACATAAATTAAAATTGAACGGCCAATCTGAAAATAACAAAAAAAAGGGGGGTTTCATTTAAAAAACCAGAGTTGGTAACTACCACACGTTTATGATGCACCCTGTATATTGGAAAGTAATTTTAGAATGTGGACCTTTTAAACGTGAAAAACTTTCGTTGGACGAATTTTCTTGTAAACTTCATATTTACTGAGATATAGCACTTTGACGCACTAATGAGCAACCCTGTATATAACCATAGATTAATGTTCAGTTTGTAGGAATTTTTGATTCAATGAAAACTTGACTGAGTTAATTCTAGAATTAAAAAAAATAAATCGTTTAGATCAAAGGTATTTGTTCCATCGAAATTTTGCTTCTCTATGGCCAACGCCATTTTTTTTAAACTCCACAAAGTTTGATTTGATTGAGCGCCCCGGGGAGGTTGCCAAATTGTGCGAAGCCGTAAAGAGTGGATTTTTGCACTGTAACGACATACACAAAACTTATTAGTGGCATGCCCTACTGAAAATAAACTGCGCATGTGCAGATGCAAATATAACGGCGGCACTATTACTGGCATGGCTGCAATGTGTGCTCCATGCTTAGACAAGGAAAGAGAGGGGACCGGTAACAACGAGGAAAAAATGAAGCCAATTGTCACCACACAGCTGCTTCCAGTGGCGTATCGTCAAAACCACAGTCAAAACTTAAATTTCATTGAAAGGTGAAATAAAAATACATTTGAAACTGTTTAAACACCAGGTTTCCCATTTACATTTTTAAACCATTTGCCGATAGTGCTTCGATGAGGCAAACAAGTATCAAAAACTTGCCGAACATAGTCATATGCTTTGGGAGAGAAAAAACTTAGAGTAATAGCAAATTTCCTCAGTTCAGGGGAATATTTGATCTTTTTCCCCAATTTCCGTTTTATTAGTTCTTTATTTATGTTCGGTAAATTTTTGAGCAAACTAGAATGTTCCAATGATAATAAATCTTTTTCCCTTAACGCTTTTAAAATTTGTTTTAGAGACACTATTTTCTTTTTGCAGCGTCTTACCGTTTGTCGAATTTGCTTCAACTTTATAGATTTATCACTACTTCTTCTTACTGCTTGGAATAATTGTCTCCTTATGCGCCTTTTTCTTGGAGTGTCTTCCAAACTTTTGTCTCTAGATATGTCAAGATCCGGAGTAGCAGAAGTAGAAGGTTGGTCAGTTTGTGGACGGAGCCTTTTCATTGCCTAGACCAACAAAATTGTATTACAAAATAAAATTTTGAGTTTATTTTAATGAGTAATCAATTTATGAATATCGACTTACTCGCTTTGGTTTTAGCTTTTCCTGAAGATATGATGGTAATTCTTCAAATACTGTCGGTATTGCCTCATCAAGAAGGCAAGTTCTGTTACTAATTCTATAGAAAGACTTCTGTTCGAAGTGTTTGGAACAAAGCCTATCATTTTTTGTAGGTTCCCAATCTGCAATATGCATTTTCTGCACCCAAAGAGCTAGCTTTCTGGGATCCTTCACTGGGAATCTAAAACAAACCAATAATAATTAACGGGTTTCTAGAGAAAAAAATACAGCAAGATTATATCATACATATTGTACCGTGGATGGCCGAGTATCAAATTCTTTCTTCAACTTACAACTTTTATTCCACTCGGTACAACTTTAACTACGGAACAGGAACAAACTAA